AAGGCACTCACGTTAAGAGTTCTTAAACCTGATCACTCTCCGTAAAGAAGACCAAAGACCGTTCCTGCATACCTTGCCCTGCCAGACTTGGCATTTGGGACGATGGCATAGCCCCCTATAAAGACCACAAGTCAAGCAGGCCACATCAGGCCATCAAGTTCCTGGCAAATGCAAACGCTCTGGCAAGCCCCGGGCGGTCTCACACTTCATTGCACACGAGTAAAAGAACCCAGGCGCTCTCCAGAATGGTGTGCATGAGTCTTCCCAGGCCGTTGACACTGCGGACAGGATTTTCTTGGCCATCGAGTTCGTGCAGCCCAAAGGCTATCACCCCTCTGCTGCGGAGCGCAAAACCGGGGCGCTGATCGCGGCGGCCTTGCTGCGAATTTAAGTCAGGAACCGCACTGGGCGTCGGCTGGAATCCTTCGGACATTGTACCCAGACCACGCAACGCAAATAACAGCAGCTACATGCTTTCTCTGCTGTCACATTTATTCAGTTTTGATCAGATACGTACCTGGTGCTACGTCCGTGTAGCATAACTTCACTGCTCTCGAGCCGGATCGGAAGGATCTGTTTCAGGCCACGACTTGAACTCAAGACTGTCTCCCTTCTTAGTTCCATCTCTCGCCTCTCAAAGTGGCTGGCAACCGGCAGTAAGGTACCTCGACTGCGACCAGCGCCCCCGGATTGGTCGGCAAGCTGCTGGACACACCAACCTCATTCCCAAACGTTAGCATCAGGCAAGGATCTGCAAGGTTTCAATGATGCAACAGACTCTGAGTTCTCCAGCCCGAAACGTGAACAACAAAGGGTGCGTGAATAACCCCCATCCATTTACATGACCCTTAACATGGTTATCTTTTTATTTTACTCTTATCGTTTTACAGGACTTGGGGTCTGTGTGATCTACTGCATGCGCCATTTGCCACTCTTATCGTTTTACAGGCAATTGGACTGCGTATTCTAAACATCTCGGTTATCGTTCTTTTTTACTCTTATCGTTTTACAAGGAATAGGCAATGTTCTTGACTTAAAGACGCTTTCATCTAAACCCCGATAGCGGTGTTTTTTATCATCCCTCTTGTGGGCCATGTGCTAAGCCGGACACGTATGCCACAGCCAGCACGCCCCTGCTCACAGCAATGGCCTCAAAGTCTGTTGAGAGCGGAGAAGAAGAGGAACCCCGGTTCTCTGTTGATGTCCTAGTCGTCACATATCGTCGGCAATGTTGACTATGCTAGCCTGATGTGCTATGATGCGATTCAGCTGCTTGCTTCTTCCTTGGTTTCATCTCCTTCCAAGAATAATTACATCAGGCGCAGAATCGTCGACCATTGGGATTGGGGTCTGCACGTGCGGTCACGAACACTGCTCTTTGCTGCAACCTGCTTGTGCAACTCAAATCAAAGTTGGGACAGGTAATTTGTAGTGCGAGAGCTTGCAAAGCCATGTTTGGAGACAAGCTGACGAAAGCCGTGCACCGCTCATGCACACAACAGAACTATGTTGAATGTCATGGGAGTGGCTGCCCGGGACGTCGACTGGAACAGAACCACGCTTTTTACACTTATGTTCTACCATGCTGCAATGCCCGTGCCGGGATGCGAGACTTTTCGTTGCGAAATTTCTCACAACCCCCCTGGCGACCCAAGAATTAATGTCGTGAACCTGCACCGTCCACTACCGAGGCACATGGGGTTAGCCAGAATGCAACACGGAGAACCAAGGGGCATCGTGGAGTCTGGCATAAGCATAAGAAACAAGAGGGCTGGAACCGGTTGCCGCCGCGTGTTAACGCTCAAGGCCCAAAGCTACTGAACGCCGGCAACACGACAGGAAACAGCAGTTTTAGAATATAGCGCCGTGTATAATGCCAGAGTCCAAATCTCAGTCTGCACCCATTGATCTCAAAATCTCAGAATACTTGCACTGACAAATCAACTACAACACCAAGTTCCACACTTCCCCACTTGACATTGCAAAAGACTCACCCCAGGAAAATCCTGTCAAAGCACGACGAACAGTGCCAGATTTGTGCCTCTGAGAAAACCTTTCTAGAACCGGCCGCTGGCATTCTTTTAGAGTGAAACTTCGCATGCTTTAAAGCCAATCTCCTGGGAATTCGAAAACAGCTCCATCACGAGAGCGCCCGTTGGGGCTCTTGAGACATGGATGCCAAGACGTGTCATGTTGAGAAAGCAAGGTTCTCATTGCATCATAATTAGTGTAACATGCCGCTGGGCTGTCGAGCATGTACATGCACTTCTACATGTCTCATCTCATCCACCGTGGCCTCCGAGCCACGTGCAGCCGCCAAGATTGCAAGCTGCTGCCTGACCAAGAACAGACACCTAACACAAAGGCGGTTCTCCGCCTGGTCTTTCATCTGTGCGCCTCAGTGTAGTGACCATGCTGTTTTGGTCCGCCAGCCGTGCCTTTCAATGCTTCATCGGACGAACAGGATAGCTATACGGTCGGGTCGTCTGCTTTGTCTCGGTTCAGTACTGCCAGAAGGCCGCGCGTTTGAATGCTCGCTTTATGGTGGCCTCTGCTGCTGACAAGGACGCTGCACTCCCAGCAGCTGCGGCTGCGGTGCACTCTGCCTGACCAGAAGCTGCGTGACATGAGATGCCCCAATGACCTCAATTCCTACGAACGGCGAAAGCCCAGAACAACCCAAAACCCTAAACTTACGAAGTGCATGAACGAAACGAATCGATGAACACACCGCGACATGGCTCCGTGCCGTGGACTCACATGTGGGCTTGGCATGAAAGTGCTCCCCGGGTTTCCGACACGCTGCTGGCTCTCGAGCGCCATTGCAAGCTGCTCCTCACAAAGAATACTTCAAACAATCTGTAATCGTTTTGCATAATTAGCCCCTTCAATATGCTCCAGTGTCTTTCCAGCGGCAGGAGGCTTCCGAGGCCAGCCTGCATTGACCGCTGCTCGAGGCGAAGTTGATGAGCCTTTCATGTCACACTCCCTTGCTTGCGCATCACTGGCAGGATCTGGCAGGAGGGAGCGTTTTGATCTACACAACAAAACAGCATGCCACACGTTTGGTGATTGGCGAAACAGAAAGAGTTAAAGCGAAATGGACTTGTGAAGTTGGAATATCTCTGCTCCTGGGCGCCCACATCTTCGTCGCTTCTTTGCATTTCGGAACTTTTGCTGTTTAATTGACTTTGGAGTCGATATTGGCTTTTTTATTGTGGAACGTCTACCTGACCAACCTGACCAAACACAATGTATTCGGCACTTCAGGTGTGGATGCAATCTCACCTGCAGTCGCATCTCGGACTGCCCCCTTTCAGGATCTCCAGCGACTTCAATGCGAGTGTGGGCTGCTTAGAGTTGCATTAGTCATTAGTCTCCGCCCGCATTCCATGCATAGCCATATACCCATACAGACTCCTGTCTTGGCACGCTTTCAGTGCTGATGTGGCACATGCGAAACAAAGTTGGTTCAATGCTGAGCTAGTGCCTCTGCTGATGCATTGCGAAGTTCAGCTTCCGCAGCTCGCTTTGCAGCATCAAGCTCCCACTCCCTGCATGGACCACTCGGTACTCATTGAGCGGAACAATCGCAACTATCAGTGGCCTCATTTGCCGCTCTCCGTCCATCCGCAGCTGCTCCCGCAATTGCTGCCTGGCACATACCAAGAAGATTCGATAGATGCGACCAGGCCGTCAGGCGCAGCCCCACACCCCACGAAGCTCGTCGGAAGGGACTGAGCGTCAGCCAGCTGCGAGTGCTGAGTGCGCATGGCATCCCGAAGCTGGTCCTGCAAACGTGCATGAATGTGTGACATGTTCCGGGCTGATGCAGTGAATTGCAGCGAACTGAGAACAGATTGCCAATGATCCACTACTGCCGCCTCCAAGCTGATTCTACATCGCACAAAAATTGGCATTCTCATCGACGATTGCACCGTGCTGCTCAAGCTCAGCACATACCATGTCACTGACTTCAGCCGCTGTCTTGCGATGAAACGAGGGGACCCTCTTGCGGCACGAGGCAGGACAAACCAGGGGCAATACTTTTCGCTTCTTTTGACTTGGAGTGGGCTAGTCCGCCCAAGAAATTTTGCATCATTCTGCTCCAGGATCTAGAGCTTGGGATATGTCTTGGGATTCAGGGATCAACTTGGTTTCGGGGTTCCACGCCGGTTTCACCATTGCTGAGTCAGTGGCTAGATGGAGTACCCAACTTTTTCCTTTAGGTGTGTTTCGGCTCTTCCTCTTTTTGGCTCGGGCTTCCTGCCATCTCCACCTAAGCCCAGAATGGTTGCAACGCTGGCGGAGCGTAGATTTTCTTTTAGGACTTATTGTTCAGGCGGTGCGCTTAGAGTATGGTGTCTACGAAGGATTACAGGCGATTTGACCGTTCAGGATTTGCAGGTTTTGTTGTGTACAAGTGACTGAAGCATCGCTTCGGTAGACCTAAGCTCTCAACATCTTGTTCTGTCCTTTACCTTTAGAGCTTCCAATTTGTAGGCCCCTAAAGCCAGGGGGCCAGACATTACACGGTGCGAGGGAATGCAGGCGCCCAACATTTATCGATAATCATCGCTTTCACTGAAATGCACGCAGCTCATTTCTCACTCCGTCATTCGCTGGTGAGTCGACGGCCCTTTGAGCATTGGATTTCCAAGGCGGGCCATGCATATGCAAAAGGAATACTGTATGCATCACGGCCGTATTTCCGGCCAGATAGCCCGACTTCCCTGCAGACACATCATTCGGGAGGGCCGGGCGGGATCAAAAGTGCTGCTCTGCTTCAGCCGTTATGGCTGCAGCACAGCAATGTCTCATGATTAATGTAGGAACTGACCCTTCCCAACCAGCCATACAGTTCCTCAGCAATAATCATCGCTTTCACTGAAATGCACGCAGCTCATTTCTCACTCCGTCATTCGCTGGTGAGTCGACGGCCCTTTGAGCATTGGATTTCCAAGGCGGGCCATGCATATGCAAAAGGAATACTGTATGCATCACGGCCGTATTTCCAAGGTATCTCTCCAATGCTGCAAAAGGTAGTCCGGAGCCTGCAACAGCGGAAGACCTGCCACAACAGGCCAGGGTAGGCAATCGTAGTTCGCCATATCCCAGCCCTGCTGGGCTGTCCAATCATCACGCAAGCCGTTCCTGCTGAGTCCATCAGAAGGATTATCAGCGCTCGGCACGTACTCAATCCAAAGCCGGATGTTCAGTCGTGCCCACAGCAAGTGGCACAAGGTAATGATCTGTGCAACATCTCCCACAGAGCACGCTCCCTTGGCAACCGACGCACAAACTGACTGGTTGTCGCAAAACAACAGGATGTCACGGTTGGACAAACCAGCCCTTGCGAAGATCACGAAACACTGGAGGATTGCAAGAGCCTCCAGCGGAAAGATCTGCGTTTGACGATCCTCGAAGAGGGCAAGAACGTCGTCGGTGACAGTCGTAGCTCCTGCCAGCGTGGTGTCCCGATCAGGGTGGCAGAAAACGAAGCCCAAACCTGGCCTGTCCATGTCTTTAGGCTCCCAGCTGGCATCTGTATAAATAATGATTGGAGCCGGAGTCGACAAGTTCAAACAGATATTTCTGGGCTGAACCGTCTGCACCAAGGCTTGTAAGAACTCCAGAGCCGCACGGAGCTCGGGGCCAATCTCATAAGAGTCATCGTGGTACTGCCGCTGAATCAGAGCATGCTGGCCTCCTCGCCCGCAGCGGCCAAACATGGCCGAGGCTGCCCACGTGAACTTGCCTCGGAGTTTTGCAGCTTCTCCCGGGGTTAACAGGCCCTTCTGCAGGATCTCATCGATCTCCTCACTCAAGGTTTCACGGAGGCCTGGCTTCAGGTTGACCTGTATGCATGAACCATAAGCAAAGTCGCAGAGGTCCAAAAGAACTCCCAAGAAAGGACGTTGGGATGCCATAGGACTCTGCTTTGCCGGGTCCAGCACGAGACCAGCGCAATCGTAGAGGAGCAGAAGAGCCGATTGCCCGGAGCCGCGAGCGCAAACAAAATCAAGGACCCCAGAGTCATCAAAATAATTGGTTGCGCAAACACCAACCATCCGCCTACCAGCAGCAGTCATCAGAGCAGGAACCCGATTGAAGTTCAGCACCGCAGCTGCCATGCCATAGGGATGAGCCTTGAGTCGGAAAAAAACGAAGCTCACCGCACTCAGCATCGAAGTGTGCCACGAAGAGGGCGGCAGCCTCCTCGGGCAGGTTAGGCAGTTGGCGATACGCAGAGGCCATATCGTCGGCGCCGAAGTGGGGCTCAGCCCAGGAGGGCAGCTCACCCGATTCGGCCAACAGCAGTCTCATACACGCCTTGCAGGCAGCGGCCACAAAATCAGGCGATGAGGTGAAAATGGTTTCCTCAGCGAAGACTGCTTTATTGTGCCCACTGTACTTCCCATCATCAATGGCACGCAACTTGTTTGCTTGAACCAGCATGAAACGGCGCATCGGAATCCAGCCTCCCGGTCCCCAGCGGCGGTCGAGCTCCTGTCGAGAGAAAGGACCCTCAGCAATGCCTTGCTTGATCTCGTCAGCCGTGAAGGCTTTGGCCTCCTCCGCATATGGCATACGGGGCAAAGAGGCTTCAAGACGATTGACAATGTCCACAGCGTGAGGGCCCAACAGTGCCGGGAGGCCAATGCTGCCAACTTCGGTGGGCTCAAGATCACGAAAGATCCCGGGGGATTCAATCGCGCCTAGCAACCGAAAACCCGTAACGAACCTCAAACCAACCGTGCAATCCGGCCACCTCAGGAGGTGGGCAAAGAGTGTAAGCATTGCTGGTTTGCGATGCTGAGCAACATCGTGTACATCTTGGGCATGGCTCTTTGCAACAAGTGCTCCCAGGGCTGCAAGAAGCGGCTGATGAGCCTCAGGGCTCTCGCCTGGATTTGGCGCCAGGAGCGGATGCAAGGTCCCAAGGCGGCCATGGCCCTGCAGGCAAACATCGCGTCATCATCCAACAAAGCCTGAGTGTCAAACGGGTTGGGCAGACACACAGAAAATTGCATATGACAATCTTTGCCCAAACCTGGCGGCAAGAAAGGAGCCACCGCCCCTTTCGAGTTGGGTCCCCCAGCTTGGGATCCCAAAGAGCGCTTGCTATTGCCCACACTTCGCTGCTGCAACCACTCAGGGCCTTGGCTGCCTGCACCGAGGTTTCGCAATTGCGTGTCGACCCAGTAGATCTGGAGCCTGGCCAAGGCGCGATTAACATCAGCAGACGCGGTCAAAGGAGGGAGCTCTACTCCCGCCGGTCGCAGGCTGGCCTGGAGCAAAGGAGCAAGGTCACCCCAAATCAGGACCCCCGGAAACGATTCCACGACACCGGGCTGCCAAACTGTACCGGCTGCTGCCGTCCTGACGTGCCTTTCTGCCTTTCGCGACCAATGTATGTCGCCGGAGGCACAGAGGAGCATTGGGGCAAAAGCGAAAACAAAATGCAAAGTGCAAGCATGCAGGATGGCACATGGAAAGCATTTCCCACCAGAGACATGCGGCATTCCTCAGCTGCGGGGCTAGGGCCTGCGTGGTCACAACGGGCCGGGGCCCACTTAAGCATTGCCGGGGGAATGCCCATCATTTGGGCTCTTTCAGACGAGGAAGGAACTCGCCAAAGCTTGCCTCCCTGTGCTGAGTCGGACTCCGCTCTCCACAGCAATGCATCAGCACGGTAATTGAAGAGCGGCAGCCTTGACCCGTCCTCCAAGAAGCGCTGGGCAGCATCAACATCGTGTTTGTCTCCTCGATCAGGCGGGCGCTGAAAGACGCGAGTGAAAACTGGAAAACAGGGCAGGTCCTCAGCACTGCGCGCAACTTGAGTGGCATCAAACTGTGGCTTGAAGCGGTCAGAGAAAGCCACGTGTGGTGGCCACGGCTTTTTGTCCTGCCACCTGAGAGACCAACCTCTTTCCGTAGCAACAGCCTTGATGCCTTTGGGCGGATGAAGCTCTGGGAGGGAATCTAAGGAGCGACCGTTACAGCATCCCCAAAAATTCCTAAGCCTAGCAGTCCACCCGAAAGAGCCCGCTGAGATCGTCACCGGCTTGCTGAAAATCAGGCGGAGTGCGACAGACATTCTCAAGAAGGGACAGCACAGGAGTGCTTTTACCCAGCTCTTGCACCACACGCTCACATGCCCGAGCAATGTCCGGCACACAATGGAAAAGCTGAGTCCTGGCGGAGCTGAGGCCCGGTCTGGAGCTTTTAAGTGAACTAACATCCTGACAAGGAGAGCCACCTGCAACAAGAATGGCCGAGTATCGATTCTGCCGAACAGCCTCGGCAACGACATCAGGACGAAAGTTTCTAACGTCGCCCATGTGCACAATGTTGGCAAAGCTCCTGGCCGTGACTGCAATGGCATCAGGGTCTACTTCCCAAACTAAAGCGGAGAACGAGACCCCCAAAGCAAGCAAGGCCACTAACAGAGAGCCCAAACCATCAAAGAGACTGAGCACCAGCAAAGGGCCTTCCACGGCAGTGCCCAGTTCAGCTGAGGCAGAGGGGAAGTGCCTCGATACGCGACCCATCGGTCCGGGACCACGCTCACCTGCCAAGGCTCGTCCACACTCGACGCATCAAAATGCACCACACGGTTCTCTGGGGCCGCCGTTTTCACCATGCGAGGGGCCAAAGCGGGGAGCGGGAACCCTAAGTCCAACAGCTTCTGCCGCTGAGACTCCGTACGCAGGCCAAGGTCCTGGTTGGAGTAACATGTGATGCCCCATTTATCCCCTGTCCATGAGTCAGCTGCATGTAACCTCAAAGGGGAGAAAACAACAGGCCTAGCGTGGTTACGAAACAACTTTGCATTCACTGGTGCACAAACTCCCTGACCTGTCTCCATCCTTGCACTCAATCAAGAGACCACCACCTCGGAAGCGCCCCAAGGACACGGAGGCATTCAAGCTACCCTCAAGATTGCGTAGGTCCCTATGGGCTGCGACCGGGGCGTTATGAGAGATCGCAATCGAAGACCATGTCAAGTAAGGGAGACATTGTTGCATCCAAAGGTTGAGCTGCCGAACCAACGCCTGCCTTGTCAGAGTCGTGTCAGTGACACCTGAGCCCGTGCGGCTGGAAAAAAAGCCAAGGATCCAGTACTGGGCAAGCGCCTGCTGGCCTAGGACTCCTGGGCGGCTGTTGGTATTTGCTGTTGCAAAGGCTTGCTCAAGGAGTTGCACACAGTCGGCTTCAGAAACAAAATGCAAACCGAACGAGGAATCCAAAGCGGCAGCAACCCTAGGAGGGGGAGGCGGGTCAACCGGAGAACCAGGGACTACAACCCTCCTAAGCCCAGGGGCAGAGCCCTGGGGCGTCACCACAAGGCGCGGTTCCTGCGGGGTATCACACCTGATAGCACGAGCAGGCTGCACGCTCGCAGGCTTTGAGGTCTGAGCAACATCAGGAACAGAGGCCTCGCCCAGGAGAGGCTCAGCAACACTCACTGGGTGGCCAACATCCTATTTGCCACGGTGGGGGCAGCTGAGGCGATTGTGCTTCCTGGATCCGCAAACAGAATCATCAGCCTTAAGCACGTCGCATGCATCCAGCTTGCCACAGGAGCCGTCGCAACCCCGGTTATCGTTCCACCGTTTGCAAAGCTCTAACTTGGCGGTCTTGATCTTCTTGCGATCAGGGGAACCCCGCGCACCAGGAACATCCTCGTGCAGAGGACGCTTCGATGTCCCAGTCGAGGCCGACATCCAAGTCAGCTCATGCTCAGACCACGACTTACACAAGGCCTCACCTTGCGCCCAGCCGGTACGGATAAGCTCGATCATCCTGGCACGAGTCTGCTCGTCACGTGCACGAACCCATTCCAGAAGTGACCCTGCAGGAAGATCACAAGAGCTCGCAATGCGGAGAACCGAATCTGCATAGCGAAGGTTATCAGAAAGCGGCGCGAAAACCACCTCGGTTCCCGGCATCTGCTTGGATGGGGCACGGTGCTGCCCCACAATGGCATAGCCGTTGGCCAGTATGCGGAGGCCTCGATAATATTCCATCACGGATCTCACCGGCACGGCCTCATCTCGATCAAGCTGCAGCTTCACCTGGTCACCCAGCACAATGGTCCGATCCTGATGAGGCTTGGCCGCCCAGTACAGAGACTTGATCTTGAAGACACTGATGACCGTAGGCGTAAGCCGCTGGAACTCACGATACAGCCGTCCCAAAAGAGGGTCGCAAGGCATGTAATGAACATCGATCTCAATCTTGTACGTTGCGTGGAACTGCTGCAGAAGCGTCTCTTGTGTGGAAGGTTCAAGAGCGCACTCCAACTCCTCAACAGCCTCCCCCGCCTGCTTCTTGTGTTCGGCACGAAGTAGCAACGTCCTAGCAGACCTCCAAGCAGCTCTCGCTCGCGACAAGAACAAAGCATTGTCTTTCCTGATAGATCTATTGCGTGTAATTTTACATTTTACATTTTTTAATTTTTTACACGTTTTTGACGTGTAAATCTATCCCTGAAATTTACACGTTTTCGTGTAAATTTGGGTGTGTAAATTACACGCCAAAACGTGTAAATTATACACCCATGTTCTCCGAATTACACTCTGTTTCGGTACATTTGCAGCCGAGATTACTGGCACAAAGTTCCGTTGTGCTTGTGTTTCCATGTGTTTCCCAATGCCATTTGGACGAAACACACACACGAAAAACAAGATTTTGTTGTCTCCACTGAAGAATGCGGCCGACATAACAACAAGCAGAACCAAGAGATGTATATACATGTTTGTGTGGAGGAGAGAGAGAGTCCTCTGTTCTTTTGAGCCACACATTTGAGCCAGAAGAACTTTTTTCGAGGTTTCAGTGACAGAATTTCGAGGCACCAGCACATCTTTGTGGAGGAGAGCTCCTCTGTTCTATTTGAGCCAAAAACTTGAGCCACAAGAATTATAAATTTTAGGGTTTAGGGTGAGGTCTGTAGCCGAAAATTTGATCCAAAGAATGAGAGGGTGTGTAAGGTCTGTAGGGTTTTATAGGGTTTAGGGCCAAAAAGGTCTGTATAGGGCTTAGGGTTCGTGTGTGTTTTCCCTGTTTCTCTCTCACTCTCTGTGCGTGTGCCCTCACATCTCGTCGGTCAAAACTTCCTGCTGCTTTATATAATGTGTGAGAGCTGTTCGCAGTTTCGCTGTGCGAAAGCTTCTCACACAATGAGGCATGCGATGCTCTTCACATTGGAAGTCGCGATGTGTCACAGGTTTCGAAACTGCACTGCGACGACATCTTTTTTTCGCGAGAGCGATGAGAGTGCTTCCTCCAAGTGCGAGAAACCTCCCCCAACTCGGTGTAACACCAAGAAAGGAACAGAGAGGGGAGTTTGCTTTGTGGATCTCCCCACTGACTCGGTGTAACACCAAGAAAGGAACAGGGGAGATCTCATCTGTCAAAATGGACCAGGCGAACAGAGAACAAAGGTCACAGGAGTGTGTGCTGCTTTGGAGCAACACGGGTATGTCTTCAGAAAGTTCCAGAGCTCAAAACCGGCCAGAGCCTGCCAGAGAGCACACTCTGAATCTTCTTTTGTGGGAATGCAAACACACAGTCTGTAAACCCTTGGAGCAGGCCTTCTTGATTTGTGCCAAAACCTCCATAGCCCTCCCCTGACCTAACTCGGTGTAACACCAAGAAAGGAACAGGGGAGTTTGCTTTGGAGAGCTCAAAACCACAGCCACAGCCTGCCAGAGAGCACTCTGAATCTTCTTTCGTGGGACTGCAAAGACACACTCTGTAAACCCTTGGAGCAGGCCTTTGCCAAAAGTGGGCCAAAGCCCAGTCCCAAATTTTCCCCTTGCTGAGCACCGTCAAGTCTCCACAGCTGGCCACCAAAACCTCGTCCAGGATGATGGAGCCTGCCAGAGAGATGCAAACAGAGTCTTCCTTTTGTTGTGGCTTATAGAGGGTTTATAGGGTTCACAGGATTTACAGGTTTCTATAGAGAGGGTTTAAAAGGGTTGTGCGGCAGGCCTCTGTGCACTGCGATTTTTTTCCGCGAGAGCGATGAGAGCTCTTGGATTTTGTGCCCTGACCTAACTCGGTGTAACACCAAGAAAGGGACAGGGCAGTGCTTTGATATATTGTGCCCTGACCTAACTCGGTGTAACACCAAGAAAGGGACAGGGCAGTGTGGTTTGATATATATTGCGCCCTGACCTAACTCGGTGTAACACCAAGAAAGGGACAGGGGCGTTTGCTTTGTGGATCTCCCCACTGACTCGGTGTAACACCAAGAAAGGAACAGGGGAGATCTCATCTGTCAAAATGGACCAGGAGAGCAGAGAACAGAGGTCACGACAGCTTCTGCCACTGCAGGTGAAGTGCAAGCCTCATCTTCAGGTTCAGCTTGTGGCTCGCCTCCTCTCGCTGAACACCACGACAGCAGGAAGCCATCAGAGTGCCGAGCTTGGACATGTAGTCCTCGAGGGCCCCGAAACCCAAAATCGTTTAGACTTGAAGCCCTCTCTATATATAAGTCCTAGGACCCACATATATGAAACCTCTACACAAAAAAAAACCCTTTGGATTGTGCGAGCACGTGTTTATAAAGCAGGAGACCATTCATTTCTGTCCTCCCCTCGCCAGCAAGATGTGAGGCCAGGATGAATCAAGTGACTGAGCATGACGATATGCTCGCAGGCATGCATCCTTCTATATGTCTCTGGAAGAAAAGGTTTGTGGGCTTTAGAAAAAGGCTGTTTATAGGGTTTAAGGGTTGCAGGATTTGTGTTATAGCCACAAATGTGAAAAACATGCATTGTTCCGGAAGAAGAGAATCTTTTCCGTAGGATTGAAGGCCCGACGATCTTCGCTGCGAAAGCGATCCCCGACCATGACATACAAACATGCGAAGTCCCGAAAGTTCGTCTTCAGTCTGTCTGCAGCTTCGGCAGGAAGGCAGAAATAGCCGTCTGCAATGGGCCATTCCTCCAGTATCTCCTCGAACTTGCATGTCAAATCCAAGAGTAACCCAATCTCTTGGAAGTCCTGACCAGGAACACCAAAATGACCCCACATTGCCCGCACGGCTGCTGCCATGTCCTTGATCTCCGCCGCTTTTCCACGAAGCTTCGGAAAGTCGGTCTTCTTCTTGTACATGCTGACCTTGTTCAGCCTCTGGGAGTACGGGCTGTGCACCTTGTGGGTGGATTGGTATGTCTTCAGAAAACCCCAGAGTTCATGCAGATTGTCGCTTGGACTCCCATGCATCGTCTCCTCACAGAGGACCCAAAAAACCGATCCATAGAGCTGCTGGAGATAGCCAAGGTACCGGCAATGCATCAGGTCAAAATGGACCACCAGCACAGAGCAGAGGTCCTTCTGGAACATCCTGTTCATGCTTCGGCTCGGCCATGCTTTCCAAGCAGCAGGGGTCCACAGAGTTGTCCTCCATGCGGCATCCTCCGCAAAGCAGTGCCAACTGCGGTCTCCTTTCTTCTGGCACTGGCACAAGCAACAAGGGGAATTGGAATTCCACCGGGGAAGGCCCTGGAACTGTGCCATGTAGTCCAGGTCTCCACAGCTAGCCACCAAGACAGCTCTATAGCCGTCCGCGAGGTATTGGCCAGCTCGCTGTCCCTCGGGACTGTGGGGATCGAAATCATATCCTCGCCAGTCTTTTTTCGGGAAAACGCCGGACCACAAGGCTTCGAAAGACCAGAGTAAAAGACTCCAGAGGTCATCATTCGTCTCTTTGGAGAATGACTTGTGCCAGGCGGCCCAGATGTAGAGCTGGCTTTGTTTCGTGGAGCCGCTACCCAAAAGGGAAGCCCATGACATCACTAAGGCTGAAGAGGACCAAATCTTCCCCTTGGCCAGCACCGGTGTTTCGTCCCCGTGCAATGATAATGGTATGATTTTTCTCACCTGATGGGATGGCTCCGATGCCAGTGGGTGGCCCTCCCACTGCGGCAGCCCTCTGGCCGACTTCCAAAAGCGATCCAAAAACGCCTGTCCAGGCATGATCACTTGTTTCCATGCTGCCTTGTAATTGTGGTAGAGGCTGCTAAATAACTCGTGTGGCAGGCTGATGGTGTAGGCATGCTCGTCGCTGGGCACTCCGTCGACGGGCACGGGCACTTCAGAAGCATTTTTTCGCAAAGTGGTGCGACTGGGATTGTACATCAGTGGCTCCTGCCCGACCAATCTCATCAAGTCCCTGTTGACATTGTTGCTGTGTTGACCGGAGCTTCCAAGCTTGGCGAGGGGCTCGAGGTCAGTCACAGTTCGTTCTCTGGCATCATGCAATGCTGCAGCAGATATTGCTTGCACCTGCTGTGGTGATAGCAGGCCCCATGCAAACTGTTCCAGGAGCCAAACTCTCAATCTGGAGCCTGGCAGTTCACTGGCGGCTGCTGCGATGCCAGCACTTGTGACCCTTTTCTTTTTTGGTGGTGGCCCCAAACCGGCCATCAGAACATCAGAGATAGGAAATGTCCTATTCGATCATATTTCATCTAAAAAGTAAACCCTCTAACCCTGAACCCCTGAACCTTTTTGAAGCTGAAGCCCGTAGGGTTATAGTTATAGCTCTTGGATTTTGTGCCCTGACCTAACTCGGTGTAACACCAAGAAAGGGACAGGGCAGTGCTTTGATATATTGTGCCCTGAGCTAACTCGGTGTAACACCAAGAAAGGGACAGGGCAGTGCTTTGATATATTGTGCCCTGAGCTAACTCGGTGTAACACCAAGAAAGGGACAGGGCAGTGCTTTGATATATTGTGCCCTGAGCTAAGTCGGTGTAACACCAAGAAAGGGACAGGGGAGTGGTTTGATATATTGTGCCCTGACCTAACTCGGTGTAACACCAAGAAAGGGACAGGGGAGTGGTTTGATATATTGCGCCCTGACCTAACTCGGTGTAACACCAAGAAAGGGACACGGGACTGCTGGGTGGTGTTTGATATTCGAAACAAAAACAGCTGCGGCAAGGCTTTCTGGACAATACTTAGCATGATTATCCCTGTTTCTGAGGGTTGAGGACAAAGACGGACCAGGCTTTGGGCAATACTTAGCATGATTATCCCTGTTTTGAAGGGTTTAGACTGAAACGGAAGAGGGCTTTGGGCAATTCTTAGCATGATTATCCGAACTTTTGCGGGTTTAGGGCCAAGACGGACCAGGCCTTGGGCAATACTTAGCATGATTATCCGAACTTGTGAGGGTTTAGGTCCAAGACGGACCAGGCTTTGGGCAATACTTAGCATGATTATCCGAACTTTGGAGGGTTTAGGGCCCAGACGGACCAGGCTTCGGGCAATACTTAGCATGATTATCCCTGTTTCTGAGGGTTGAGGACAAAGACGGACCAGGCTTTGGGCAATACTTAGCATGATTATCCCTGTTTTGAAGGGTTTAGACTGAAACGGAAGAGGGCTTTGGGCAATTCTTAGCATGATTATCCGAACTTTTGCGGGTTTAGGGCCAAGACGGACCAGGCCTTGGGCAATACTTAGCATGATTATCCGAACTTGTGAGGGTCTAGGTCCAAGACGGACCAGGCTTTGGGCAATACTTATAGCATGATTATCCGAACTTTGGAGGGTTTAGGGCCCAGACGGACCAGGCTTCGGGCAATACTTAGCATGATTATCCCTGTTTCTGAGAGGGTTTAGGATCAACTCTTTTTATAAACCCTTTTGAAAGCCCTAAGCCCTTAAAAATTCAAGGCTGGACCCCAAACCCCCCTAGAGGCCGGCCTCAGAGGCCACGGGCCTTCAACTGGCCACTCCAGCCAGTGATCTCCTCGACCACTTGGCTGCACAGCTGGCCTGTGCAGAAGGGTTCGGATGTATATAGGGTCGCGAGTCGAGGGAAGAGGGTCGCCGATTCAGCACAGCATGTGTGGCCTGCTTCGAGCAGGGTCGTTTGGAGATTCTCCTTGTTGATGCGGGTGCCATCGGGCAGGTCCTGCAGCACACATTTGCATATATAAATATATATAGGCACACTTGTACACATCTCTCTGGTCCTGGAAGGATCGCACATGCTCCAGCAAACCTTTCTTGTCCGTCAGAGCTTGGATGGTGGCCTTCCTTGTGGGGGGCTGTGACATGAAGCATGGGCTCTCTATACTCTCTGTAACATAGATTCTCGATAAGATGCATTTTGTTGAGGAGGGGGTCGTCTTTGTTCTGCTTGATCTTGTCGCTCAGTTTGCTTGCATCCTGGAACTGTGACGTGCAATTCCCTGCCCTAACTCGGTGTAACACCAAGAAAGACACAGGGAACTGCTATGATACTCCCGCGAGGACCTTCTTGAGCTTCTCGACGGCGCTTTCAGCCTTCTTTAGGAGCCCGTCCGCTTTCGACCAGTCGGCCTCTGACAAGGCCGCTGGCACGGCAGGCTCCTCCTTCTTGTCCTCGATGGCTTTGATGGTTGGCACCGCCACGGTCGGCGGAGCAGCCGATGAGGCAGCGGCGTTTCTGAGGTCCTCCTCTGTCGGCTCAGGCCTTTCCATCGACACACTGTCGAACAGGTTTTGGAGTTGTCCTGCTTGGGACCCAGAGACTCTCAGAGCCTCGGACTTGATGTTTGCCACGTTCTTTCGCTCGTCCATCGAAGTGGACTTCAAGGTTCGCCATTGACAGAACACCACGTTGTCTTGGGTGACAACGGAGACTTCATCATTCAAGATCGCGGCCCTGAGCTGCTCATCCGACAACCCAAAGCGCCCTTTAAAGAGCGTTCTCGGCAATCCCTTGTCTCCCCACCCAGTGGACTGCTTCTTCTCCAGACTGCTTTCCCCCGTCACTTCTGCGGCTTCGCAGGCGAGGGCAAGCTTCCCTGTCTCGGGGTCACGACTCACTGAGTCCTCGATAAACTTCGTCAGGTTCTTCCTCTTGCCGTTGCCGCCGGCACTCAAAGCCTCCCACTCCGTCTTCATCTTCTCTGGCACTGCTGCTGCGAGCAACACGTTGAACTTGTGTTGCTTGCTGCGGTCTCGTCGATTCGGCCCAGCTTCGCTTTCCTCCGGCTCTTCTGCTGGAGTCTCGCCGGACTCCTCAGGCCCAAGCCCATTGATCCAGTCGCCGGTCAAGGCCTCTGCCATGCTTCGCTTCCTTACGAGTTGCTTTGGCTTCGGGTCGGCCTTCGCTTTGGGGTCGGCCTTCGCTTTGGGGCTGGCCTTGTTGTCTTTGGGGTCGGCCTTCGCTTTGGGGTTGGCCTTGTTGTCTTTGGGGTTGGTCTTCTTCTTGGGGTCGGCCTTCGCCTTGGGGTCGGCCTTGGCCTTGGCTTTGGGTGCTGTCTTGGCCTTCTTGGGTTTGCACTTCGACTTGGGCGTGCTGGTTGCTGGGGTTGCTGGGTTCGGCTTGGCCTTCGCTTTGCCCTTTGGGTTTGGCAGGGTCGGCCTTGGCTTTTGGCTTTGCGGGTGCCTTGCTGGGTGCTGGGCTCGCCTTCGCCTTTGGTGTGCTTTTCGCCTTTGCAACAGCCTTCCCCCCTGGCTTTCCTCCCGACTTCAGGACCCCGGTCTTGGCTTACTGGGCTGGGGTGCTGGGGTCTCCTTTGCCTCCTCCTCCTCCTCTACCTCGTCGTCGTTTTCCTCTTCTTCCTCTTCTCCTTCTGCTTCCTCTTCCTCCTCAACCTCCTCATCCTCCTCTGGAGCCTCTTGCTCCTCTGCCTCCGATCGCTTTGCCATAGCTGTGTGCGGGCACAAAAAAAGATCTTGTGCAAAAGATTGCTTCGGCAGAATTGGCTCACGTGTCACAGAGAAGGAGAGAGAGAGAGAGAGAGAGAGAGAGAGAGAGAGAGAGAGAGAGAGAGAGAGAGAGCTCACAGAGAAGAAGAGAGAGAGAGGGAGGCCCGAAATTCACCAGAAGGAGAAAAAACAAAATCTCAAATTATAAGCTTTTTTTCTCGATGTTTATATATAGTTTTCTGTATTCAAAAGCTATAGAATGAAACCGTTTTTCTTTGTTTTTGCTCGCATTGAAGACTTTTCGAGCAAAAGTGTATGCACTTTCGGCCAAAAGTGTATACACTTTTGGCGAAAGTGTATACACTTTTGGCAAAAGTGTATACACTTTTGGCTAAAAGTGTATACACTTTTGGCGAAAGTGTATACACTTTTGGCAAAAGTGTATACACTTTTGTGAAAGT